GCGGGAGGCGGACGCAGGCTACCCACCCAGAAGGAGGCCGTCCATGTCAAAGAGGAGGTGGGTGACCGGCCGCACCGGGGGAATGGGCGCCGCCATTGTGCCGCCGTCCGAGCCAGGTGGGGGCGGGGGGAGGCAGTGCGCGTGCTCGCCGGGCGCTCAGGCCTGCGCACGCGCGCTCCGGGCCTCCCCGGCGCGGCCCGGGACACTCTGCGCACGCGCGGGCCCGGGCCTCCTAGCGCCCGCGCCGGGAGCCGAGCCGGCGCACGCGCGCTTTGAGCCTCTTCGGCGCGCGCCGAGCCGCTGCACGCCTGCGCGTCCGGGGCCTTCTGCAGCCCCGCGCGCCCAGAGCCGCTCTTGCTTGACGCGCGCGTGTGCGCTTTACCTGGCAGGCGCTGGGAGGACCAGCTTGCCCACGTCCACCCTGGTGTGGGTGCACGCTGGTGGGTCGTGAAAGCATGCACGAGTTGGGTAGAAATACAAAAGGAAGGTTTACGAAAGGAAGAGGAGGGTCCCCTGGGCAGGGTCTGCTACAAACTTGCAAACGACTGCGTCTTGAGTCATTTTATGTTGTCTCACCAGGATATGCATTGCTTCTGCCCAAAGTAGTGCAACTTCCTATGGCCTTTGCTTTGTCCGTTGGGGTGCGGGCAGCGGTTAAGCCGGTTATCGCAACCTTTGCATACGTTATGTAGATACAGGTTGGATGGAGCCTGGGGAGTGGATCCCATACAGGTGGAAAACCCCTCCCCAGCCCCAGGGCCAGGGCTGGGCCAAAGTAAACAGAGCCATTGAAACTGCACAGTCTGTGTCTAAGAAAGCACAACTGTTAACCTTTGGCGGAAAGGAAGCCAAGAAAGGAAAGAAAGCTTTCAAAAACTGTCCCGAGCTCAATTGCATTTCTTTCATCAAGGTATACTGGAAGTCCAAAGCTCAACATAGGAGATTTACTGCCACCATTGCAATCCCACTGTCTCAACACATCCCTGCTCCCTTCACATGCCTAAACGTTTGGAGATGCTCAGGGGGCCTGATGTGAGTTAGGAGAGAAAGCCCAGAAGGACTGGGCAGGAAGTTGTTGGGGGAGGGGTGCAGAGATAGTCAGGTTGGAGCCACCACCGCAAACCACCGGATTAATGTGCAAGCCTGTGGCTTTATTCAGGAGGGGCACCCGTGGGTTCCTAGCCCCCCAGGACCCCCGGCTCCCCACGGGGGCGCTCAGATCTGCAAGCCTTGGTACCTGCAGCTCCCTACCATCCTGGTGCATGGTCTCCTAGCAACCTCCCCCCCAACCCCACCCCCCAGGCCAGAACCTGATAGGAAAAGCAGCGAATGCAAATTGTAAAAATGTCTTCAAGCCTCTGGCTTCTCCTGTCTCGTCTGCATTGGGTTGCTTTGAGTTTTCTTCCCTTTCCAACCTTTCTGAATGCAATATGAAAAACCGCATTTTGCCCCCCCCCCCCGCCGCCCCGCTCTCAAAAGTACCCCTTTGTCCCTGTTTCTGTGCAGTGTTAGCTGACTTGGCATATGCAAGTTTACGCATCAGGAGAGCACTTTTAAAGAAGCAGAAATAAAGTTGCAGAGACTTTAAAATGCGAGGGTGTGTTTTCCGGGGACGTGCCTGAACTGTTTCTTGGGGCATGCCTGGATGCCGCAAGCTCTGACCCCTCATAGGTAGTGAACCTGTGTGCCTCAGTTTCCTGGCGTGCAAGATGGGGGTGTAAATTGCGAGGAGGCAGGTCACGCTCTTCACAGTCTCAAGCAGTATGTGTTCAATTAATTTATGTCTTTAGACCTGTTCTACGAGACCTTTTCCCATTTAGTTCATTATTTCCCACAGAGGACACTGGGCCTTAGAGAAGGCAATTCATCCACCAGTTCCTGAGGGGATTACAACCCCTATGTGCTAGGTGGCTGCAACAAAGGACATAAACGGAGTGGCCTAAATAAGAGAAATGTGTAGCCTCACCGTTCTGGAAGCCAGAACGCTTAGATCAGGGTGTCCACAGAGTTCCTTGACGTGGACGCAGCCGTCTTCTCCCTCAGTCTCCTCAGACTGTCTTCTCTCTGTTCATCTATTTCTGTGTCCGAATTTCCAAAGACACCAGTCCTATCAGATGACCACCCACCCTAATGACCACATTTTAACTCGATTACCTATGCCCAGACCCTACGTATGGTCACATCAGGTCACATCCTGAGGTGCTGGGAGGAAGGAAAGGACACCAGCATATGTATTTGGGGGGACACATGTTAGGTTCAGATAATCAATAAAGAGGCTGGATGTTAAATTAGGGTTCTGAAAATTTTATTAAGCTGAGCTCAGCGACCGCCCCTCTAACTAAGGAGAGCCGGCCCTAAGACTGGGGGGGGGGGAAGGTTTTTATAAGATAGGGCTGTATGCAAAGTAAAGTACAGAAGCCAAAAGAATGTGTAATTATTTTCGTTAAAACCGCATTCCACTGTTGTAACAGTGTTGTTATGTCCAGGTGTCTTAACAGTATATCGTGACTGGGTTAAGTTGACCACACAAATTGTTTCTCAGAAATACGCATGTAATCAATTTTAGAAACTAAGGACGGGGTTGAAAAACTAAAGTTAGCTTGCTTCAAGGCCTCCTGAAATGCTAACATGAAGGCGGGGAGAGGAAGGGGGAACTGCAAGGCCTGAGGAATGTTGTTCTCTAACCCTTTATTCCCCAGCAGAAGCAAAGCAGGTGCACAGAAGCAAAAAGAGCTGTTAGTTTTTGTGAAATGGTCCAATCCAGTTGTGATAAGACTACTTCTGCAAAATCTTCTTAATATTTCTGCTGCAACCCATTTCTTGTAAAGCTAGGCGTTGATTGTCTTACTGGGAAGTTCTGCTTAGAGTCTAGCTGGAGTCGCTGAAGTATGATTTTTTTAAAAGTGAGTCTGTCCGACTGAGTCTGTCTGGCCTAGGGTCCGGGCCGAGATCCTTACACGCATTTCATAACAGATTCATTGCACAAACGTGGGTGGGCCGCTGAAACCGGAGGCCAACCGAGTCTGGGGCTCATGCTGCCCAGGTGTCACTCAGCCAAGAGACACACCCAGGAGCTGGGTTGTAGAATAAGTGTTTACAGTCAGAGCACCAGTGGTCTGAGAAGGCAGCGGGTTAACACCTTCAAAAAAACTGCCTTCACACTCGCAGACCAGCCTGGGGTATTTAAGGGAAAATCTGGGCGTTTCTCCACAGGCCACTGTGGTGTTCTGGGGGTCTGCACTGTGGCTGTCTAACGCAGTCACCAACCCAGGAGCAGTGATGGCAGTAACCTGGAAAAAGGCTGTACCGTAGAGATTGTGATCAGTAAGCATGGGGTGTTGTGATCAGTAAGCAAGCACACGTTTCAGGGTAATTATCTAAACCAGGGAACTGGGACAGGGAGCATTCCAAGCTCAAACCACAGGGAGGGGGTTGATCAATTGTTAAGGGTAGGGAGAAGGGAGGCCAGGGACATTGCAAGGCCTTTCTGGGGGTCCCAACCGGGCCCTGTTTCAACACCTGCTAGAGCCTGTAGAATTCTTGTTCCCCGTTTCTTTCCACTGGAAACAAATGGACTTCCAACCCAGAGAGTTATTTTTCTTTCCCATTGTTGCATTACATTTCTGTTGATTCCGTCGATACAAGGAGTACTCGTAAAGGGGAAAAGCGCTCCCACGCCAGGACTAAGAATTTGAAACTGCAGGCGAGTGTGGCAGCTCACAGCTGATGTCTGTGTCAGTAGGAGGTAGAGCCGGAGAGGAAGCTTAAGCAGCTGCCTAGGTTTTGAAGTCGCCCGGAGATTGGCTGAAAAACTAAGCAAGCATATAGACAGACGTGGGTGATGAACACGTCAGATGTCCTGGGACAGAGTCCCTTGGAGAGGACCCCCCCCCCAACACACACACACACACACACACACTTGCCCTGTTTCAGCCATTGCAGCCCCAGGTATGGTCTCGTCAGAGAATCCGAATCGTTCACTTACAGGAACCAAGGTACTGGCAGGGCGTTCCCCCCTCACCGGAACCAAACTGGGGAAAGCCTCGTGGCAGTTGAGGAAGCGTTGCATTGGGGAACCTGGTGTGGCCCTGCTCCCCAAAAAGGAGAAGACATACTTTACATCATTTCTAAGTCATTTTCCACACTCTTCAGAAACGGCTCTGGCATAGGAATGAAGACAGCTCTACAGTTTAAGAAAAACAAGACTGAAAGGCCGGCCGAGTGGCACATTGGTTAAAAGTTAGCTTGGGA